AATGAAATAAGTAATCCAGCCTTATAACGGGTGAAAATAATTATTCTGTCGACGAAAAAAAGAATGAAATAAGTAATCCAGCCTTATAACGGGTGAAAATGATTATTCTGTCGACGAAAAAAGAATGAAATAAGTAATCCAGCCTTATAACGGGTGAAAATGATTATTCTGTCGACGAAAAAAAGAATAAAATAAGTAATCCAGCCTTATAACGGATGAAATTGATTATTCTGTCGACGAAAAGAAGAATGCAAAACCTTTGGCCAAAAGCTCAACCCTAACCAAAGAAATAAATTGGTCGTTCTCTTAGCGATTTTGTTCCTTTTGTTTTGTTGTTGCAGTTTCAAAGGACTGGTCTTAAAAATAACCTTTGTTCTCTTATGGAGAATTGTCTCATTGGCAATCATACCACATCTTTTAATTTTTTTATTTGAATTTCTTATCAATTCTTTGAGATTGAATTTGCCACATAATTTACTATTCTGGATTATACATGTGTTCTTTAAAGGAGTTATTAATTCTAAGAAAAACTGCATGTTTAATATTTATTTTTTTCTGATTTTTATGTCCCAATGAAACCGAAAATATATAGTTGCTAGGCAGTTTTCCAATATAAATAAACAGTTGCTAGGCAGTTTTCCAATATAAATAAATGGTTGCAAGGCAATTTTTCAATATAAATAAATGGTTGCTATGCACTTTTCCACTTTTCCACTTTTCCACTATGACTGAATGATTGCGTAGGACTTATGTGATGACATTCCCCCTTGACCTTTTAGATAAGGTCTATGTAATAGTTTATATAGTCCTGAATCAAAACATGTATGGTTACTAGGTATTTTTTTTTTATCAAATTAGGGTGGTTGCTAAGTACTTACGACTTCACCTTGACTTCTTAATGTTGATCTGTTAACAAAAAAGTGGCTTTAAACGTCCTGAACATTTTCCCCATATATTGTTTGCTTCTTTCTATTATCTTTTCTTACAAAATTCAATTAATATACACAAGGTCAAAGGTCAAGGTCATCAATGACCTCTGACCTCGGGTAAAATTTATGGTAATTTAATTGCCAATAGTTTGCACATCATAGTCATTCAGTAGTTATTACCTTTTTGGGATTATCTTAATAACATGGTCAAATTTCAAAGGTAAAAAGGCAAAAAAGACACATTTTGATTTCCATAGCAACCATCCTAGCACCCTAAATCCCAAATATTTTGTTATAATTTATTGACTAGGAACATTGATACTTTTTATTTATAATCACAGCTTAAATGGAGGTGGATGCAAACATGCATATTTTGTTCATGCAAAATGTGTTTAATTTGCCTCCACAAATACAATGAAAAATGACCTCTGCTCCTGTGATTGTGACAATATTCAAAACAAATTTTTTTTATACATGACATTGCTGTTTTGTTTGTTAATTATCATGTTTCTGAAAAATATTTACAAATATCATTAAATAAAATCTGGTTTTGCTTCCAAATGACTGCAACGTAGTTGTTTTTTTCAATGCTAAATTCCCTAAAATGTACGGGAAAACTCAATGACTTGGTTACCATGGCAACCGTGGCCTAGCAACATTTTGGTGGGCATTTTTCTTACTTTTTTACCTGATTACATGTTAAGGCTAAGTTTCAGGAAAATCGGTGACTATACGTGCCGACCCCCCTATATGAAATGGTTGGTGGTTACAGAGAATTGCTCTTAAATTTAATTTATTCCATTGTGCATATTTTCTATTTAAGTTTTGTTGCCATTACATTTTTTATGTACAGCAACAAATATGTAAAAAAAGGAACATTACAGACCTAAAACAAAACAAGCATAACATAATATGGATCCTGTGTCCTTTTATACAATTCTAATGAACATTGTATAGTAACATTAATAGTGCAAGATCATGGTAAAATGTAATTTGAACAGAATGTGAACACTAAATTTGAAAGAATTAGATTTGAACAAACTGAAAGTAAGGTGTAACATTCCGAAGCACCTTAGATCACCTCCAGTTTTTGGTTGGGTTCGTGTTGCTCAGACTTAAGTTTTCTATGTTGTGTTTTGTGTGCTATTATTTGTCTGTTTGTCGTTGTCTTTTTTAGCCATGGCGTTGTCAGTTTATTTCGACATTTGAGTTTGAATGTCCCTTTAGTATCTTTCGCCTCTCTTTTATATGTTTTTATTTTTTATTTTATTATCCTCTACATACATTTGTAACTGCAATAATGAAATGATAACAAAATAAAAATTGTCTGTTTTATGGGTCCAGAATGCCTTCCTTCTTGTTAATTATCTTTGAACACAATGGACCTGAAAAAGAAAACGGACGTTTAAACTGCAGTTCTCGAAAAAATAAAACCCGGACAATGTAAAAAGCTGAATTCGTTTGTTCTAAAATCTTGAATTTCTTTGAAAATAAGTTGTACATGAATTTAACTGATATTATTGCGAAATATGAGTAAATCGATTGATCGCATGTAATTTCACTCGATAAAATTGAGTCTATACGCGAAAAAAAGTGGACTGATTCAATGAAAAAAAGATTCAACCGGATACTATTCCTAACGTGATTTTATACCTATCTTCGAAACTGATCACCCATAATCTAAATTAACCGAATCAAGGTTAATGCACAATCAATTTTACAACAAACTGTCGACTAAGATATCTACATTAATACAATTTTTTAAAGTCACAATTCCAGATATAACCCTTTTTGTCGTTGGGTTGTTGTTTCGTTGAATTATATATCCTAAATATTCTTATAATGAAAATAAAACAAAAACAAACATGCAACTTTATGCATAGGAAACTGGTGTTTTTTTTACCAAATTAAAAGTTCTACTTATTTCAAGATCCCGTATTGTGACTATCTTATATGAAAATTGTTTTATCCCGTTTTCATCTGACTCTAAAATTGTGTTTTTTTTTGTCCACAGGTTCTTTGGGCATAACCCCCACTTTTCCTTTATGTTTTTTATTTGATTGATTGATTGTTGGTTGTTTAACGTCCAGTGTCCCTTTTTTGTGTTTATGATTTATAGTTAATTATGTAAGATGCTTTCATTTCACGTGTAATTGCTCTTATCCACACAATCTTAGTCATACAATAACAGTAATTTATTATACGTGCTGTCTCTGTTTCCGTTGCACGTATACATTGTACAATATGTATCGTACGATCGTAATGATTAAAACAATTAATAACACATTAAATAAATGTATTTATTAAAGTTGAGCATATACACGTGTTTCTATTTATGTTAACAAACACACGTGAGTGTGTGTCTGTATAGTGGTCATCTATATTGGTGTTTTATATTAAAAAAACAGGTTTGTGTTTTAAATATATGATATTTCGGATTGGTCAATTTTTGTCGCAGTGCGTAAATATATTGAGTATGATATTTGATATGTAAAAAGCACGGGATATTTTAAGCGCGAATAGTTTTCTTGTTAAAGTAAGCTTACTAGGAATATTGTCATTCGAAGCTCGTATACAGTACAGTGCAGTCAAGGGTAGATGAAGGGGTTCGCCCCCTTCCCCCCCCCCTCCCCCACAGTCTTTTAGACCTATATATATATCTATATTATATGATTTATATTATAGATATATCATAGACCTATATATATATCTATATTATATGATTTCTCATATTGATTTTCTATTTTGTAGGCTGTCGTGTACTACGCAGCGGTGTCGCCGTATCATGATGACATCGGGACTCAAATTATTCCATTTTGTTTAATAAAATAATCAAAGTAAGCTGCACATGCTGGCGAGCTATTCCTATGAAACAAGTGTTTGTTTTTATTTTATAAATACTTTATATTCGTTTGAGGTAACGAATTAGAATATAAGTGTAAATAAGCTGAACTTTCAAAAGAAATTTACAAACAATCTTAATACCACCCCAACCCCACCCCATCCCACCCCACCCCACCCCCAAAAATAAGGAAACCCATGCCTTAATACCTTTTTCTCTTCTTTTTTTTTTTGGGGGGGGGGGGGGGTGTGTAAAATAAAAACCGTAAAGCAGAATCCGGCAAATGAAACAAAATAAATCTCCAATTATTAGGGCGACACAATAAGAAACAGACTAAACACATTAAGTCTCACAGCCTAATGTTTTGTAACTGGCGAATCAGGAAAAAATGCTATCATGTAACATTTCTTTATTTGTGTATCAATTAAGAAAAACGGGAATTTCCCTTGATATAGAAAATGTGCCAGAATATGGTCACATGTTTTCTTTTGGACTTGTTTTAGTTACTCATAAGATGGTCTGCTAAACCTCGACTTTTGTCAACACAAGTGTCAATTTGCGGAATTTATTTGGAATAAATTTATATAGCATGAAAAATATCATCGTCCTGAATATGTGTGAACTATTGGCTGATGGACGTAAGTCAACAATTTCAATCATCTTAGATTTCCATCCACTTCTGCTGTTTGTTTCTTGTTTATGGGAAATAAAATATTAAAAAAGCGAAAACACTTTTGTATTTTTGTTTTTCGTATTTGTTTTCTCGTATTTACCCGGACCCGTGGTTATTTTTTAATTGCTTTGTGCCAATTTAATTGTCTGACCGTACCAACCTCAAGGGATACAAACACACAAACAAATAATAACCTACCAATAAGACTAATTTGTCATCAATATTTTTAATATTACGCAATTTTTATGAACTTATTCAATAATTGTATCAAGCAAAATGCACGCAGTATAGAATGTTTTAGGGTAAACAAATTTAGGACATTGATATGACTTCATTAAATATTCACAGAAAAATCGTATAATTTCAATTTTGAATATAATTTTTGCTTTTTCTTATCAGACTATCTCGGACGCAAAAAACATTGACCTTAGACATATTAGATTAAAATATTTCCTGCTTTGTACATTTTACGGATATGACCGACATCAATTCTTAGTAAATTAATCTGTCCATATGCGCATGCCCTTAATCCCAAGTTTTAGTTATAATAGAAAACATGATCAGAAGCATTTGATTTATATACCAGAATGGCGTTTTCTCAGTCTATTAAACGAGGACAGGCTCCTGCTACATGTAATCTATGTGAAGTGGAAACTAAGATCAAATGGAAATGCATTAATTGTGACGTTATTATGTGTGAAAAATGCAAGTACAAAGTTCACGTTAAATTTAAATTTTCAAAGAACCACACAGTTATAGACATAAAGCAAATTGGAATTTATCGTGAAGCACTCGATTTTAGCGATTTGAAATGTGAAAGACATCCCGATCAGTCTTGCGTTTTGTTTTGTACAACTTGTGACAGATTAGTCTGCACGTCATGTATTACAAAATTCCATCATGGACATGGATTTATAGAAATTAGCGAAGGCTATAAAATCAAAGTAGAAAGAATAAGAAATGAACAAACAAAAGCAAAAGAAAAAATAAAGGAGCTGACGAAAGGAAAAGGAGCAATAGGCCATGGTAATGTAAAAGACAATAAACAATACAAAGATTTGATACGGAAAATAGAGGCTCAAAATATCGAAATAAAAAAATCAGCTGACAAATTTGCAGAAGAATTGAAAAGTGAATTGAAAAGAAAATGGAAAGAATTGCAGGAGAAAAAAGCCACAAGGATAGTCGAGAAAGTCGTGGATAACCTAAATAAACTAATTTCAAATGCGGAAGATATCATTCATTCCAAGGAAGCTGAAAAAGTATTTATGGATTGTGAAAAGTTGTCAACGGCCGTCAGTATAGATGATATAGATCCCGGTACCATATCATTTCTCCCAGGACAAATATCACCGTATAACGTGGGATCGTTGCAAGTTGTATCTAATGCCGTCGACGTACGTATCGTTAAACAATTCCAAACTGATATTTCTAGAGTGTTTTTTCTATCGTTATGTCCCGATAATTCTCTGTGGATAAGTGATCAAGACGTGTTACAGAAAGTAAAACCAGTAGAACATAAACTGACAGTAGAATCAACATTTAACATTGAAGTCTATGGAATGGAGGTTTCTCCGACAGGTGACCTGCTTCTGTCATCAGGTGGATCAGTACTGAAACAAATCAGTGGTAAAACAGGAGAACTTACTGATTCTATTTATGATTTGTCTCCGTTAGATCCCTTTTCAATACATGTGACCAAAGATGGTAAGGTCATAGTGGGAGTCAGGAGTGCCGGAAAAGCATGGCCGGCTACGGGCAGACGAGCTATCATTGTGATGAACCAGAAAGGAGAACATGAAACTATCTATGAACTTGACAAAAACAACATCCGAATATTTACATTTGTTAAGAGTATAACAAGTACAGATAACGGGAATATCTGTGTAGTGGATAGGTTATCTGAGGATAACAGAGATAGAGTTGTGGTACTAAATAGGGACGGAGATATCCTACAGATCTACACCGGTCATCATCAGGTCAATAATGAGAACAAGCCGTTCAAACCAGTGAATATTGTTACTACACCGTCTGACAATATTATTGTGACACAATTAAACATTTATATCTTTCACATACTGAATAACTGTGGACATTTGATCACACATTATAAAATGGGTGACATAGGATTAGCAAAGCCATATTCTCTTTGCTTCACAAAAACCGCGGGACAATTGTATATCGGATGTAGCACAGGACTAAAAAGTTCAGAGAAAGCAAAGTTATATGAAGTGCACCTTTCTGGTTGTTAGACAAACAATGAATGAAAACATAAAATATCTAAATTTACTTTTATTTTTCAAACTATTTTTTTCATTTGAATTTGAATAATCATTCTTCATTTTCTGAACATTTTTTTTCTCAACAAATTTCAGAGTGTTCTAAAAAATTAAGATATCAATATACAGACAGTGAAATGTGTTTTATTTAATCGGACATGAACAGTGAATAATTTGTTTTGTGGGACCATAATGTCGTCAAATTAGAATTGTAGATATTTAAATTGAAATAAAAAAATCCTTTGTTTATGCCTTTGCTACTACTTATATATAATATTTTATTTGTAATCTATGTTTTAATTGTTTGGAATAAAAAAATAATTAAAAAATTTAAGAGATTATTGTCACACATAAGATTATTTATTGATAGTTGTTTGCTTTAAATTACAGCGGCAACTATTTCAAACATATTAAGGACAATATAAATCAACATACTAGTTGGCATTAATTTTGAAATGAAAGATAAGAGTTCCGATGCATCACGGGTTACATCTGGCTTTTGTGGATATTGGTGTTAATAATTCATTTTATATTCTTTGTTTTAAGGAAAATCGTTTTCTTGTGGTTTTCTTATTCAATAGGGCACGGTTTTGTCTAACCCTTGACGACCTATGGCTTTTACCCCTCCTACAACTTTCCCAGGTCCTTCCAATATAGTTTACTGGAATGCATATCTTATAAGACGCGTAAATCAAACATTAATCAATCATCATATCTTATACGCCTAAATCAAGCGTTAATCATTTTCGCCACGGAATTTTATCCTCATCTTGAACATACTGCAACCAATTACCTGTATAATTATGACTGTTTGAGCTTAATTGAATTTTGTTTCGCCGTGACGAAATCGAAATAAACGAGACTAAGGCGTTTCCGGTGGCGGTGGCGTCAACTATGGACAAGTTTGTAATTAGGTCAGTTAAAGGATAACCACAAGTGGTCAATGATATTTGATATGCAGTTGTATTAGCATTGCCCCATCTCATTTCCATAAATACAATTTGGCTACAACCCCTCAGTCAAGGTCTTTTGACTTAAAAATGAATTGCATAGTTTACATGATTATTGGTTGGTTGGTCGATAAATATATGCACAACAACAAGCGCGAAGTTCCTCATATCAATGTGTCAATTGGTTTGATTGGTTGATAGGTAGGTTTATCAAATGATTGATTGGTTTATATTTTGCATGATGTCAAGTTTTACAAATTCTTTGTTGTATATTGATAAAAAAAAAAACTATTAGAAAAATTACCGTAGACACGTATCCCGGAGCTATATACTATAGTGTCTAAAGTCAAACGCTGAAAATGTAAACTCTGACAAGCGATTTAGATATGAAGTTTAGCGCTCAAGATATTAAGTAAAGCGCTGGAGATGTAAAGGACAGCGCTAAAGATACAAAAACCAGCGCCGAAGATGTGAAGTCCAGCGTTGTAGGTCTTAAGTTCAAGTGTTGTAGATATAAAGTTTAGGGCTTGATTTATAAAGTACAGGACTGTAGATAAAAGGGACAGCGCTGGAGCTGTAAAGTCTATCACTGTATATTTATAAGGTCTAGCGCTGGAGATGTAAAGTCCAGCTCTGTAGATGTAAACTCTAGCAATGTATACGTAAAATCCTGTGCTGTAGATGTAAAGAATACCACTGTTTATATAAAGTCAAGCGCTGATTAGTTGAAGTCAATCGCTTGCGATGAAGAATCCAGAGTTCGAGATGCAAAGAGCAGATCTGGAAAGATAAAGCTGAACGTTGTAAATGTAGAGTCCTACGTTGTAGTTGTAAAGTCTAGCAATGAAGATATGAAGTATAGTGTTGAAGTTTTAAAGTTCAAGCGCTGTAGATGCAAAGTCAGGCGCTCAATATCTAAAATAAAGCACTGGAGATCTAACGTACAGCGCTGCAGATATAAAATCTAGCACTGGATATGTTATGTCCAACACTGTAGATATAGAGTCGTCAACCGATGTAGATTTAAATTCCTGTACTGGGGATGCAACGTCCACTATGGCATGGTATTGGTTGCAAACATTTGATATTTTTCATTTAAATGCAATATTTCTTATTTAATTGGTATATTTCTTCATTTAAATGCAATATTTTTTTATTTGAATGGTATATTTTTTCATTTAAATGCAATATTTTTTATTCAGATGGTATAATTTTTCTTTCAAATGGTATAATTTTTCATTCAAATGGTATAATTTTTCATTCAAATGGTATAATTTTCGTTCAAATGCAATATTTTTTATTCAATTGGTATAAAATGTCATTTGAATGCAATATTTTTTATTCAATTGGTATAGTAGTTTTTTATTTATATGCAATAATTGCATTATGGGAAATTCTTTGGCGTCATAAGGTCAAATTTGCAACAACGTTTGTGATTGGTCGGTAATTGTTTGGATTTCTCCCCTTTCTTTCTTAACCTGAGTGACCAAAAATTAAAAAAAGCGTCAGAATATCGCTTCTCTTACTAAATTTGGCGTTCGTGCGAGTTCGTGCACTGGCTGTTAATGCCAATAATGGCCAGGACGAGCAAAAAATGCGAGTGACAAGTAATAATAATTAATTTGACACACAACTTGTTCATGGATAGAAACAGATGCCTGCGTGCATGGCAAAAACACCTCCAATGAAAACCTTTTCTGAAGAAACTCTCCTACAGTCTACACATTGAAATAAAAAAAAATACATAGCTAGCCCCCTCCCCCTTCTAAGTCCAGATACATGTAATCATGACGTTCTTTAGTGCTATATCATTTTTTTTACTTTTCTTGATCCTCAGAGACGTTGCAGGAAGGCACATATGAAAAAAGAATAAAAAGCATCCAGTTACAACTATTTGGACTAAACCCCCTCTTTTTTACTACATGTAGAAAAAAAATCACCTAATTACGACAACAGAACCAGAAACCCACAAGTAGAGACATAAGCTGTTATACTCCGGAACTAATTCTTTAATAAAGACAATCCAGGATAAATTGGAACCAGTTACTAACCCATGTTACAACAATAGTCCTATGACATAGGACTCCACTATATGAGGCGTGAACTTCATATTTAATACTATCTATAATATGTGCTCTCATGTCTTATGCTGCAAATCATTTTACATTTAGGATTCGTTGCTGAGCTTTTTTTACTGTTCTCGTCTCCGAATCCCTTAAATAGATTTTTTTCAAGCCCCACAGTAGTTCAATAATTACTTTATGTCTTTGCATAAATAAGTATGCAGGGCATATTTCAAAACATATTTTATCTTCAGGACTTTTAAATGATTTACTTTTCAATACTGCATTGGGAAGGGGGGTATACAAGTTTATTTTGTGACACATTATATAATATAATTAGGTATCCAACAAATTATATGATTGTACGTTTAGCTATTATCTAGACCGGTGTGTTCCCATTTCGCCTTAGCTGTGAATTCCAGGTAAAAAAAGGTAAAAAAATACTAAGGCGAGATGGGAATTGAACTAAGGCGAAATGTGAATTTAGTTAAAAAATTTAAATAAACAAATTAAACCTTTGAGTTTTTATAACAATTAAAACAACTTGTAATGGGTGAATTGTTTCTCCTGAGTTGTTATTTTTATATTCAATTAATAAAATTGAATATTTCTATGATTTCAAAAGTTGTGAAATCAGAAAAAAATCTGCAATAAAAAGATTTGTCAGTAGGAATGTTGCTTCTCTTGAAATATTTTTTGTTTCATTTAATAAAAGTTGCAATTTTATGAATTTTATGCAATTAGAAAAATCTAAATAATTCAATTATCCTTTAGATTACGCAACACAAAAAGTTTAATAGAACAAAAAAGACAAGTTTCCCCACAGACTTGTTTACATATAAAACAGAAACTTAAATAAAAAAAAAATCAAAAAAAAAATCTTTAAAATTGTGCTTATTATATATAATATTAGTATGCTAATTTAAAATTGTGCTTGTAATTCAGTGCTGATTCAGAAATTAAATATTTGTTATGGTTGTATGATATTTTTCTTTATTTTATTCAGTAAAATATGAAATATTCTGTAACCTATTGGTCATCTCTTATAAGAAACAAGAACAAAGACTTTATTCACAAAATATATCACATAGTTAGTATAGACTGTCCTTGTTATGGTGATGTAACTTTAGGAGGAGAAAGCCGGACGAACCATGATATCTTTATGCAGCTAGTACAAAAAAAAATAACATTTCATAAAAAGATGATGAGCTACTATAAAAAGAATTAAAAGACAATCGGAAAGACACCAAAACACAACTTCTTTTGAAAAGTATTTCCTGGCAGATTTTGACAATAAAATAACAAATATCCACTAATTGCAATACAAACAAAAAATAACTTATTTACATTGTTTACACATGTTTCCATTTCGACTTAGTTAATTCTTTTTTACCTGAAAATTTGGGGAGTAGGTTCAAATTTAGATACTTGTATAGAGATGTATATATGCGAGTATTGGCAGTATTGGTTATGGTGTGTGTGAGGGTAGGGGTTTCAGATCAAAGATCGTTTCTATAATTCTATATCTTTTAGTTTTTACCATTTCACTCTATTCTTTATCCTTTGATCTCTATTATATTTGTCCTAAACATGCGTGACATATTTGCCACTGGACATAAGGCAACCAAAAGTCAATCAAAGTATTCTGTATATTTCATCATTTCTTTATTATGTTATCTATGTTATCTATAGGTTGAGTCCCGCCCCAAACTATTTGAAATAAGTTTTTTATCCTTCATTGATTTTCTGATGTCGTCCCTTATCCTCTCTATGTAAACCCAATTCATGTCCTGATAAATGGTGACTCATGCATAGCATCATATGTGGTTATTAAAACAAGAAACATATTCATATTATAATAATTAATGTATGCTAGGACTTATAGATAGATGTCATTAGTCCCAGGTCATGTAATAAAGTAGGTCTTATAAAAATACAATAGCATTTTAATTTTGATGATTATATATATGTTTATATATTTAATGATGCCATTTTTTCGCAAGGCGTTTTTAAAACATATCAATGGGGCGCGTTTTTTTTTTTGTTCTTCGGAAGTGAGCCAGAAGAAGTCCATTTCTGTTTTTTTTGCATTGGGAAGATCTTCTGGCTCTCTTCCACCTCTTCTTTTTTGATAGGTTGACGGCAGAGGCACATAACAAACATGGCTATGGCGTCGTTTAGTCTAAAGTGAAATTAATAAATTCATGAATGCAGATATATTAGAATGTGAGCTGTTCAGTTTATAAACGTTTTTATGGTATGCCAGCCTTAGTAGGACATCCCTGTAGGACGATAAGCTG